ATGAGTAAGCAGCAAAAGGCTAAATTACTCAGTTGATACAGGAAAGCTGTATGTAGATAGGAGCATTAAGATGCTAAAAAAAATTAAGATCTTCTGAGATCCTACTACATTCATTGACTTAAAACGCCTATCTGTGCTCTAACTTAACACAAAACTAGTTGCTTGAGAAGAGAGTTAATAACCAATGAAGCTGTGACATGAGTGAAGCGCAACCAGGAAATCGAGTGACAATCTGCTGTGGCTCACACTGCTCTGCCAAGACACCACGATGCAGATGTCTTACGATAAGACAGCTCTTGCTCCACTGCGGGACCCTAGCACATCTGCTGAGCATTCACCCTGTGCAGCCTAGACTTTTGTCGTAACTTCAAACACTGTTTAAACAGATTTTTATTAATGATTTTTTTAAATTGTTCATGAAAGCCTATGAAATGCTTCACCACCACCCTCCACTTCCCCTTCTCCCAAATTGTACCACAGAGACCAGGCAGAAACTGCTAATCAGTAAAATACAAGACGTTCTTGCATAAGAATGGAGACACGCAAACAGCCTTTACTCAAGAGACTACCACAACATCGGGGAAATTCATAATTAGGTAGTATTTAATTGCATGTTACATACCCACAAGACCCCTCAAGGCTCACCAGTTAACATAATTAGGCAGGGTGGCTTTTTTTTTTTTAAAGCTGTCTAGATCAATATTGCAGTTATTAAATTATGAAGCATGCTTAGTCATCAGCATAGAGTCAGGTAAACTAGGGCTGATAGTATGAGGGACTGCTGAAATAAAAACAAGGCATTCCCTTCCTGGTTATTAGTCCAATTTACCTGACAGTTCTTCAGGGCACTATGGAATTAGCTGGTGGTCTTCGTATGCTTTAACATAGAAAATGTGGTGTTAATGAAAAACATTCTTTACAGCTACAGTCACTATGTGAGATTAGATAATTTGCAGGCAGTCTCCTGATGAGACAGCAGAAGAATTTAATTTTTTTTCCATCTGTTCAGGGACTTAAGTCTGTACCTAAGAAAGGCATGCTTTTCTTCTTTTGAGAAAATAACTCCTAAGACTTGACATAGTGCTGAGAGCAGAAAATAAAAAAGGTGGGACCTTTGTCGCTATCCTTTCTGGGCAGAAGAATGATCAGGTGATTAAAAGCATCCCATTGGACACTGGGGAGAGCTCAGGGGAATTCCTATCTCCTCTGCAAATCCCAGCATGTGATGGAACTAATTGCCAAGCATAAAAAGAGCCTGGCTCTACCTGGGTCTCATTAGATGGGAAACTCTTTGGAACAGGAACTCACCCCTTTAAACATGCTTCAGCAGAGAACCTGGCACATGGTTGAATTTTGTCTAAGTTAAAAATTACATGGTTCCAAATTACTATTATTTTCTTGTAGTATCTAACTTTTTTAATTTAATTTTTTTGGGGGAGTGAGCTTATCTGCTCCGTGAGTGACATATTCACCTGAGGATATACTGACCAAATTATAGATCTGAGTGGCCGCCTGTGAGCGAGCCACCTGTGAGGATGCTCCTCATTATTATAACAGAGTGATAATAGGCAGTGGAACAGGCTGTCCAACAGGGTTGTCATGGCTCTATCCTCAGAGATTTTTAAAAATCAGCTCAATTTTGAGTTGAGCTATTTGATTTAACTTTGAAGTTAGCTTTGCTTTGAGCAGGAGGTTGGACTAGATGACATACAGAGATCTCTTTTAATCTAACTTATTCTACGATTCTGTGACCTAGCATTAAAAAATGCCCAAGCACAAAACCCGTGTTTCCAGGCACATGGACTGTAGAGCATTGTCCAGGCTTGATCAAACTCAAACTTCGTATTTCAAGGCTCTGCATAGTTACTGCAATAATCCTGGGTGTAAAGTATTCACTGCAAAAATATGGCTATGCTGCTTCCCACACGCTTTGCTGAGCATTACTATGGGAGCTGAGCCAGTAGATGCTGTTGCCTGAGCATGTTACTCATCCACTCTAGGGTAAAGCCTGCTACATTAATTTTACAGCTCTGCAAGTAGCTTAAAGAGACACCTCAGGGCTAAGACATTGCTATGTTCTGGCACAAACACAGCTCAGTCATGCAGTTTTCTCAGAGCTACTTCTATCACAAGGCTCATCTTTTAATCTCACAGAAGCTGTAAACAGATCATGCCAATGAATAGCAGTAGTGTGTGTTATTTCCAGTCCCTTTCTGAATAAGGGCCTTCTTCCCACCTTTGCACTATGTTTCAGGGAAGCAGGCTCTAACTCAGGAACAGTACAAAGATGCAGGTACAATTATTAACTCCGTGTTCCCCAGAGCCATACAGGCAGACTTGACAACACAGAACTCTTAATGGTGAAAACAGTTTGCCCAGGACAAGCTCACTCTTATCTAGCAAGAGATTTGGGTTGTCTGAAACCGGAGAAGAGAGGCAACATTTTAGTTGTTATCACAGTGACTGATTCACTCCAGAAGACTGTTTTTCAGCTCCCCTATCTCCATCTCCCAAAGTAGAACATGTATTTCAGGTTGGCAAACTTTTTAATTAAATGTCCTTATTTTTCACTGTTGTTTTAGCATGGGGAAAAAAAAAAAATCAAACCAAATTAGAAAACAAAGCAGAAGGCAAGATCTTTTAATCTTCCCAGTGCCCTGGGAATCACACAATAGTCCAAACTTGTCAGAGCGAAGTATCAGCTAGCTTCCAGAATGCAATATAATCCACATGCCAGGCCTTGAAAAATCCATTTGCTTACTTGCCTCTAAAAGGGGAAGTTGCTTTTCTTAGTGAACTAGTAAGAGGGTGAAACATCATTGTATGAATGCCAAGCTTTTATTTAGCAGAGCCACGTGAAAGCCTTCCTGTAAAAAAATGAATCCATAACGGTATCTGAAATAATACTATCCTCCCACCCAGCCGGTAGGCAGCCTGCTCCAAGGCCACTGCTCATAGCTTCATGAATCAATAGCAGAAAAACCCTGATGTGATCAGCGGTGCTTTCATCCTCTGCACAAAGTTTTAACCAAAGAAAGCACCTGAAACTTGCTGTACCAAACAAGACACTGAAGTAGTGAAGCTGGAAAAAGGCACCTAGAAACCTCATGGCTCTGAAAATACAAAAGACAAAAAAAATAGAGGAAAATTTCATGTGTCTGTCAGGGAAGGCTTCAATACCAAACACCAACATCAAAAGCAAAAAAGTCATTTTAGCATCCTCCAGCTTCTCCACACGGATATGCTTCTTCCCAAAGTGGAAAGCATAAGGTAACTGTGATTAACTCCCTTATTTCCTATTTGTCTAGTTACCAGGTATTCACCATATTTTCCAAATTGCCCCCAATTGAAGCCCCCCCAACAGAGAAGTAACTTCAATTATCTACTAGATGATAACCCCAAAGGAAGTGGGATCATTTTTTGAAGCTATTTTGCCTGACAAGCAAAAGCTTTGCCTCCTCAGGATCTTGCGTAGTGTTTATCCTGGATTAGCTCTGGTCAGCTGAGCTGGAAACCTCCATGGACACAAGTTAATAACCAGCTAGTTGTCCCAACCCAGTCCTTGGCCACCTTAGCAACTGCCCTGAAGAAAGAGAGAACCTTGAAGTCATGGCCTGCCCAAGTGCTTTTGCAACGGTTACCCATGTGGCTTAAAAAGTTTAGGAACACCAGCCTTTCCTCCGCGGAAGCCTCCA